TGCCCCCAGCAGAACTTGGCCTGGGTTCAGACAGAGCCATCTGGAAACGGACAGAGATGCTAAATGTAGAATGTTCTAGAAAAGCAGCTCTTGGCCCCCACAGATGAGCTATCGCGGGCTGTTAAAGGAGGCCGCGGGTGGCTCTGGAGAGATGATTTAGAGATGATTTGCTCCACTTTAAATACACGCAGCAGCCGCAGCCGCGGCAAAGGCCGCCCGGGCACCCTCCTGCAACAGGCATTTTCCCAGCTGCTGCTGCCCCCTGCTGACAGAATCGGGGCATCGCACCCTCCGTGCACTGGGAGGCCACAGCTCAAGGGTCTGCTTTGCATTCCCCGCGCACAGGGGGTGAGCCGGGCGGGCACATTTCCTTTGCCCTTTAATCGAGATGGCCACCGCCACGCACTGCGTCAGTGGAGGCATAAACAACCAGGCCCGCGTGAATAGTGGAGAAACAAACCGCAAAGGTCATTACCACGACAAAGCAACGTGCCAGGAGGCAGTTGCATGTAGAAAATAGTCACACAGACCAGACACGAGGGCTGCATTACAGACCACCCGAAGGGGGATTCATCAGCATCCCGACCGCTGTCAGTGAGGACTGGTGTTTAGTGAGCCCTACCCCTTGTCAGGCGCTGTTCTAGACCCCTTCTGGGTCTCAACCCAGCCGATCCTTGTGGCACCCACAGGAGCCGGGATGACACAACAGAACCCAAGAAGCAAGGCAGGATTCGAACCCAGACGCGTCTGAGTCCCGGGCCCTGCAAATGCCAATTTTAAAATCAATACTCCTTACTCACTGGGTTCACACTGCAGTGGCCCTTCATCCCCAGATGGTTTTGGCCACCTGGGGATATGTGGCAATATCTGGAGGCATTTTTTGCTTGTCACGACGAGGGAGATGATTCTGGCATGTAGTGGGTAGAGGCCAAAGATGCTGCCACATATCTTAAAATGCCCAGCACAGCCCCCCACAACAGAGAATCACCCTCTAAAATGTCCACAACGCCAAGGTGAAGAAGCTCTCATCAAAATACATAAAATTCCCACAAACCTACTGGTCCTCTTTGGCACTGCCCTCCCCCCACCCCTGACATGAGGGCATTAGAGCAAATCTGCTTTGTTGGATGAAAGGTATTCTTCCCAAGGCTTCACGCTGTATAACCCTCGAGAGGCTTTCCCCACTAATTTCCCCCTAAAGCCTCTTATTTACTCCAAGGGGATGTTTTGCATCCAATAATCTTGCTAATAATACACTCCATGAGCCGTGCAGGCTCTGAGGAGTGGCCCACCCGAAGAGAAGCCCCTGGAGCAATGAGGGAGGGACTCAGGCCACACAGTGCGCACGACCGGTTCAGACACATGCGTGGAATATTGTGGCTGTCCCTGGCACCAAGCCACAGCTTGGGCGCCCGCTGTTTGTCAGGGCTGTCAGGAAGTGTTTGACCCCAGGATGATGGAACAGTCCCTGGGAACGGACTTGTCAGCAGCTGCCTCCCCCAAAGCCCTCGCTTCCCAATCAGCCCAAACAGCCAGATCCCTGGCTTTGGGGAGCAGTGCTATTTAACCCCTCCACTCCCACAGAGCCTATGGGTCTGCCTGGAGGTTCTACCAATCCGGAGCTGGTATACAAGGAGGAGGGAAGTAGCAGAGGACCCAGGCCTCAGGCTGTCCCCATCTGAATGGCCATGGCCAACAAGCATGTTGCCTGCACAAGAATTGGTACTCAAGAATCAGTACTTGTAGAATGAATGAATGACCAGAAGGGTAAGCTCCACAAGACTCTTTCCTTTATTCAACAATATTTACCAAGTATCTCACCAGGCTGGGCACCATTTGAGATCTTGGGAGGACAAAAGAGACCAAGTCCCTGTCCTCAAGAAGCTTACCTCGTAGTGCAGGGAGACAGACACTATACAAATAAATAAGTATAGAATATAATATTGGGTAGCAGGGAGTGCTATGAAAAAAGTAAAATAAGGCAAAGAGATTGAGACCAACAGATTGGGGGTGATTCTTTAAATTGGGTGCTTGGGAGGGCCTCTCCAAGGAGATGACATTAGAACAAAGATCTGAAGGTTTGAGAGAAAGAGTCATGTGGCCACATTGAGAACAGTAAGTGCAAAGGCCCTGAGGTAGGACAGGTCTTGGGGAGTTTGAGAAACAGTGAAACAGAGAAAATGGATAAAGGTGGGTCCGCATGACCTAAGAGCAGAGATTCTCAAACAATAGCATGCATCAAACCCATCAAAAAGGCTTATGAAAACAGACTGTGGTTCCTACCATCAGTGTTCAGTTGGCCTGGGTGGGGCCTGGGAATGAGCATTTCCAACAAGTCACTGTGTGGGGCTGACGTTGCTAATCCAGAAACCGCCGCAAAGAGAATTTTTTCCTTCGTGCAACAAATCGTTTCACGCTCAACACTTACACACAAGCAGGCTCGGATCATCTGAGAGAGGATTTCACATAGAATCCAGATTCCTGCCTCTAGAAAACAGGCCTGCAACCCTGGCAGCGCTCCCCCACAGGGCCACGGTGTGACCGATCCGCCCAGGACTCTGTCACCGTCACTTTGTAGCCCCGGCCACCAGCCCAGGGCTGGCCTAGGGCAGGCGCTCAAGAAAAGCTTATTAATGAAACTGGGAAGACCGCACCGGGAAATGGAAAAAGATAGCAGTCGCAAGAGCAGGACCTGAGGGCCGTTCTAGCTCCAGCGTGCCAAGTGTGAGAGGCACAGGGGGGCCGGACAGGCTCCTTGTGTTCGATCCCTAATTCTGCCCTTCACTAGCTTTGTGGCCCTGGGTATTAGCCTTTTCCTCATCTGGGCCTGTTTTCCCATCTATCAAACAGGGATGATACAAGCCTCACAGGGGTTATTGTGACTATCACACATGAACATGACTAAATTAATTAAGCCTTTCCACGGCTTGGAATAAGGCCGACATTCAGTCTGTGCTCAAAAAAGGCCAGCTCTAGCCACGACAGCTGCTCAGGGAGGGGTCAGACAAGAATTTCTCAAGGGCCCTCATGGCTCCAAAACTCCCTGACCCCTTTAAATCCAGGGACAGTCAGGCAGCTGTCATTAGTCGTCAAGAATCTATAGAAGGCCCTTGGGATTGTGGAGTAAGCAGGGTAGAATTCACTATACACGGTTTAGCACCTTGCTGGAAAAATCTAAAATGCTCTCACAATGCTACCAACCCAAATCACAGAGTGGCAACAACGAGAGGGAGAGTGGATGTGGTACAGAGCACTACAGCCTATGAGGGAGGCACCATTACCCCCTTGGAGGAAACGAGAGCTCCAGAAAGCTCCCCCGAGATGTATCTCCATGTCTAGGCTCCATGCATCTGCCTCAGGAGGGTGACTCACTCAAGGGGGTCCTCTAAGGGGATTAACGGGGTGACGAGGGACAGGACAGCCTGGAGGGGGAAGCAGAAAGACCAGGCAGAGGCATTCTGACTCACCCAGGCCCGAGGTGCCTGAAACAGCTGTGCACAATGTCTTCAAAAAGAGCAGGTAAAAGGAACCAAGGAGAGACAGACGGGCCTCAATGATAATCCCAGGAATGATTCCTAAGGAAAGAAAATTCCAGACAACTTGCATTGTTTCTCTCGATTAGGGACTGAAAATTTCATAGCAATTTGATGAGTGTGTGTGTGCTCACCGCCGTGCATGCGGCTGGGAGAAGTGCCTGGTGACAGAGCGGTTCCTGATGGGAATCCTGGGCACAGGCAGCTGTGCCCAGGAGGGGCTCTTCCCTCTCAGCGCCAGCCACCCCGGGCCTGGGATGGGGGCGGGGTGGTTGACAGCAGGTGTGCCCTCGGGGCCACACCTGGCCATGATGTCATCACCGGGATGGCGATAAGCCGAATCTGTCCATATAAATTTCTTCTCGTTCATCCATTCGACAATCACTGTTGAGCCCCTACTGTGCACGAGGCCCCTACATCCTTCGCCTCTTGTACGCCTCAGGACAACTCCAGAGGCGGGTTCTGCTGGCCCATCTTCAAAGATGAGCTAAGAGGCTCGGGGTGAAGCGAGGCGCCAGGCCAGGAAGACTGCAGGGATTTCAGCCTGGTCTCCTGACCGACCTCCCAGCAAGAGGGGCTTGCGGGGGGCGGGGGGGTGTGCAGTCAGCGGAGATGGGCTTAAGCCTCTCTGAGGGACCCGCAAGGTTCTGGAGGCCCGCTTTCACTCAGGAGGGGGTCACACGTTCTCCACTGTACCAGGGAGGAAGTGGGTTCAGCGGAAGGTAGGACTACACGTTCCCGAGAGCAACCCTCGCCCCCTGGGCAAAGTTTACTTGCTCTCCTTCTCGTTCACAGACATCATTATAAATACGTTCATATTTTAGATTTTACAGCGCATAATATCGTTGGGATTTAAATACCGGACTTCCCTGCGGGATGTGGGGCAAGAACCGGATTTCCTGATGCACCACACAGCCTTGCTCCCAGGTGCCCGCGACCTGGAACCCCAAAAAACTCTATGAAGTCTGACCCGCTCACAGACCTGCTTCTGCAGCCGGTGCCTCGTTACTGCGCAAGCGCTGCTGCAAACTCCCGCGCGCTGGACCCGCCCCCTATGGGCGAACTCACTTCCGGAAGGGCGGGGGGGCAGCGAATCCCCCTTCCTCCCGTAGATGGTCCAAGCCAACCTGTGGCCAATCAGAAAGCTTCTCTTATCACGGCCTCTGGCTATGGAGATCGGAGCTTCCTTTCCGCGAACTTTCCGGCGGCGCGGGGGTGGGAGTAGCAATGATTGACATCTCCCGCAACCATTCGTCAAGCGGGATGAGTTTGAGGCACAAATAGCACTAAAGACTTGTCCGCGAAGGGAGGGCTGTTAGCCCCGCCCCCTCCCCCCACTGGCCTCCGAGAGCCTTCGGGGCGGGAGCTTTGGGTGGCAGCCAATCGCGGGTCACTGGGGAGGAGGAGGAGGCGGAGCAGGTGGGCGGCGGGTGAGAGGGAGCGCCTCTGCCTCTGTGTTGGGGCTGCAGGCTTGCCGGGTCTCACTTTTCGGTCCCTGCTGCCGGCTTTGGGCTGGGAACGGGGTCCGCGTCGCCTCGCTCGCACCTCCGAGGCCGCCTTCTGAGGCCTCGATCTGAGCCCCATCTGGCCCTCCTCCGCGCCCCCGCCCCAGTCCTCGCGCCCGGTAGCCGCCCCCCAGCCCAGTGGGTCCGTACCGCGGCCACAGGCCCCTTGAGCGTCTCCTCTCTCCACTTCCCTTCCCAGGCAAGTCCCCCAACGCCTCTAGCAGCCGCTCTTCCCTCTCTTGTCCGCGGAGGTAGTTGGTTACCATGGTGAAGCTGGCGGCCAAATGCATCCTGGCAGGTGAGTTTGAAATTTACAGTCTCCGGAGTCCAGAGACTTCTAAGATATGAGAGCTTTAGTTCTCCTAAATTGCCTACCCTCTTTCCCTTTTTTGTGTCTTCCAAAGGCGAATTAATGTAATTACTGATAGAGTAGATTCCATTAGGGTGGGAGAGTTATCTTCCAGAGCGCATCTGTAGCTCCAGCGGACTTGCCCACTCCCGGTGCTGCTCCGAGACCACCTTCACCAGTTTTCGAGCTGTGTTCAGGACGAGCAGACTCGTTCTAAAAAAAAAAAAAAAAAAAAAAAAAAAAAAATTAAAAAAAAAAAGTCAGGCTAAATACACCGTAAGTGTTTCATCTAAACCGTGTGCTGTATCACAGAGTCAGGGATCAGTGACTTTGGAGATCTTTACATGTGGGATTTTTTTTTCCCCTGAGCCCACCCCCTCTGATAACAGGGATTGGAGACAATAATGTGCAGTTGACCAGAGTTTGCAACAGGCCCATGTGTGCCGTCTTTAAGAGCCAGAGTTACTTGGCCAACCCAGTTGGGGACATGAATGTTGAATCCCCCAAATCTTCGTTTTGTTGACTTCTGTATCTCAAGCATCCTGAAAGTCTGGAACCCAAGAGGTACTCAGTAGTCATGTGTGGAATGAATGACAGTGTGGCATTCACATTTGTGGTGTCCCCTTTATGTGTCTGCACCTTTAGGAAGATAGTCGCCTGGGTTTTGATCTGGGGCCTCTGAACACAGGTGTAGTTTTAGCGCATGGCAGGCACGGGTACTTCATTCAGTCCCTTCCCTGTAGCACACGAGTAGGTGCTGTATTGTTCTCTTACTGAGGCACTGAAGGGTCTCTTGCCCAAGGTTAACCCCCGCCCCCCAGCGAAGGAAAGTCATAGGCAAGATTTCAGCCCCCAGACCTGCCCAATTCCAAAACTCTTCACTTGTGTTATCTTTGAACTCCGTGATCTCGCCAGGGTTCCCTGACCAGCTCAGGAAAGAAATGGTCAGAAACCATATAGAGGGAGAAGAGATGCCTGTTTGGATTCCTCTCTTCCAGACTGAAACTGATGACATTTTAAGGGCTTTTCTAATTTGAAAATAAAACAGTCACACAGAAAGATGACTGACCATAGTAACTCAGATCATACTAGAGAGAAAAAAAAAAAAAAAAAATCCATGCTTCTCAAGAGAGGTCTCTAGTTTCCAGAAACGCCAGGGGAGGCAGTGTTGTGTAACAGAAGTAATTCTGGCTGTTCCTATGTCGTCTGGGACACAGCAACTTCCCTCAGCCTCAGTTTCCTTGCAGATACCGTGTGAACGTTTTTATTTTCCTCCGTGGGCTTCTCTGTCTAACTGTTCTTTCTCTTCTTTCTTCATTCAACTTCCATCATGGGACTAACGTATTGAGCACCTTCTGTGTGCCAGCACTGTACAAGGACCCTCAACCCAGGTATCTCAGTGAATCCTCACAAGAACCCTGTGGGATCAGTATTGCTGTCATCCTCATTTACAGATGGGCACCTGAGGCCCAGAGAGGTTAAGACATTTGCCCTGGGTTGCACAGCTGGATCTGGCAGAGCTGGCACGCAGACCCCGGTGATCTGATTTCCAGGGCTTTGTTTTCAGCCCACAGCTCTACTGTCCCCAAGCCTCAATTCTAGACTCTTTGCCCCTCTTTATATCCACTCCCTCAGGCACTTTTTCCCCTGATTGCGGCCACCGCCTGAGTAAGTGACTTGTAAACTCCAGTCTAGTCCTTAACCGCAGCCTCCTTTCAGGGCCTCAAGGGCATTTCCTCATGGAAGTTTCCAGAAACCAATAAGACCTCAGCACAATGAATCAGGTCCCCCCCCCCATCACCACTACCATCACCAAATTCTCATTCTCCACACCACCCCCACTGCCTACACCCCCCTCACTGGTTTTATTTTGCCTTTCCCTTCCCAGGCCTACTGTTTAAATTGAGTTTATCTGTCTTTTTTCTCTCCTATAACTAGTCATGGAGGGACTTGATGTTCAACTTAAGTGTTCATTCATTCAACAGATCTTTATTGAGCACCTGCTGTGTGTAAGTCACCATGCAAGGTATCACGGGAATACAGGGCGGAACCAGACCAGACCCTACACTCATGGCATTGCTGAGATGCACAGAATAATTTATAATCCAACAAACATGAATAGAATGCCCTTTGTGCGCCAGACACCAGAGAAATACCTCAAGGCACGGCTGCTAATAGTTCTGGCTCAGCTAAGGAGATGAGGAGGGATTACACCCTTGACATTCATCTGTTGTAAATAAAACAGTGATTTATTTATATATTTAAAAATCACTTAACTATAACTTCATATACGTCAGGTGCTGCACACATCAGCTCATTAAATCCTCCCAACAATTCCATGAGATAGGTGCTGTGATTCCCATTTTGCAGAAGTGGCCACTGAGGCTCAGAGAGAGATCACTGACCCAAGGTCACATAGCTAATAAGTGAGGGGGCTGGAGTTTGTGCCCTAAGCACTACAATTTACTGCCCCTTGATGGAAGCGGGGACGGGGGCTCTGACATCAAGTCTCATGCTACCAGCCGGGGACCTCACATGTAAAGGCAAGAGGGAGGGATGGCCTTCCAAGAGGGAGGAAGGATAGGGAGCCTTGCCGGGCAGAGAAGTTGGACTTGAGCGGGGAGACGTAGAAAGAAGTTACCTTTGAGGGATTCTCAGAGAGCAAGAGTAAGAGGGTAGGGCCCAGATTCGGTGTAAAGGGTAATTGGAGAGCAGATTGGAGGTGGATTCAGGGTTGATGGCAGAGACGGGTACAGTGACATCAAACGCTGTCCTGGAAACGTCCATCTGTTGGTGCCAACAGGGTAGGTAGAACAAAGAAAAATAAAAAGCAGAGAGGGGCAGGTGGGGAGCGCGTCAGGCAAGACCCGCTCAAGAAAACAGAAAATACATTGGGTATTTTATTATACAGAATTGGTTCAACAGGGGTTGGAAAAATGGAAAAGCAAGAAGAGAACCTTGAGGTGACACAGAGTGGTAGGTAGAGGTTGGGGTGTCGGAGGCTTGAGGAGGAACCCCACAGAGCTGGGATCCAGATTCCCGAGGAGGGGGCACGGCTCTGGGATGGGACCTCAAGAATTCAGTTACCCGCCATGTGGTGCCACAGATCACTGGGCCCTAGTCCCCCTTGGGAGGGAGCTGAGCCCCGTGTTCTGGCAAGACGCGACCAAACCCATTCCAGACCATCCTGAGGGTCTGGGTTTGGAGACCACTCTTGCTACCACTGCTACAGAAGTCGGGGTCCGGGCAAAAAAGCAGAACCTACAGTAGGTATTGCACCAGTGAGATTTCACGCGGGGTGTTCATCACATAGGTTCTGGAGGCCTGGAAGGATGAAGGGACATCAGAAACCCAGGAGTGCCCTGGGGAGCCAATATGCAGATCTCTGAGAAGGGGACACTGCCCCCCCCCGCCCCCCGATCCTGGTATCTCTGAGGGGGAATAATAAGGCTGGTCTGGGAGTACCAAAAAAAAAAAAAAAAAAAAAAAAAAAACTGGAGAGATGTTACCACCTGCTGCTGGGTGAAGGCCATTGCCAGGGTACTCCTAAGAGACACAGCAGGCAGGTGGGAAAGGAGCAAGCCCATCCCCCCTCTCCCAGCTGCCAGTCTCTAGAACTCACATTGGCAGAGCCGGACAGGAAGCCCCTGGCAAAGGAGACACATGTTTGCAAAGTCCCTGCTCCCGCATCACAAGGCAGGGCACAGAGCCCAGGTTGAGGTAACTAGTGCAGTGTTAGCAGTGACAACAAAGGCCATGCGGGCTCGAGACCCAACAAAGGACATCAGGAGCAAGGAGGAGAGCATGGGGTGTGGGAGGAACGGGGAGATGCGGTCAGAGGTGACTGTGTACAGCTGGGAGCCGTGGGCAAATGGTGACATGAGCAGTACCAGAGAGATGGGTGAGCAAGACCACTTGGGACCTGGGGGTGCGACACAAGCCAGGCTGTCGACAGATTGGGTGGAGGCCCAGCATTCTTGTGGAAGCTTCCACAGGTTATTGGAGATACAGACAGAGCGTGGGAGAGAGATCCTGACCCGAGAGATGACTTGGGGAAAGAGAGTAAACGGGACAGAGCCACTGGGAGGACAGACCTACAGGAGTGGCCACATTTCAGAAGCAGGAAGTGGAAGAATCAGACCCATGCGAGGACACTGGAGCCACAGGGCCAGAGGGCTCAGGGAAGAGGGGGCTGCTTTGGGCTGAGTCATCCTTCAGAGACATCAGGGAGCATGAGAACTGAGGAAAAAGCCACTGGACTTGGCAATTAAGAGGTCACAGGTGACCTTGCATGGGGCCTTTGCAGGTGTCACTGTCTTTGTCCATCAGGGCCCCTCCCTGCCGTCACCCTGGGCTCTGCCTGGCCCCGGGGAAGTCGTCCTTGCTGATGAAACTGCTCATTTGTTTCTTTCCTCGATGCACCCTCAGACACTTTGGTTCTCAGCTTGTGCTATTTGCCTTTGCACTTGTCATCGTGTTGCTCTGCAAACGTTTTTATCAGTTATTCCCTTCCCTGTGCTGGATCCCTCCTCAGCCGGCACACGAGGCAGCTTTCCATAAGTGTGGGTGACTCTGACTGACAGTCGGAAGAAAGGTTCACGAAATTAACTAGAACAAATAAAATCTGTGGGGAATTTCACGAGCGAGAAGAGCCAATTTCTAACTGGATTCAGAAGCAGAATTGGAGTCAGGAGCGTGGATGCAGTCGAAGCACAAGAAGGAAAGCGATACGCTCTGTTTGTTCGGAGATGGATGGGTACCCCGCCACAGTCCAGTCCGCGGTCGCCCCTGATGGCAGGCAAGGCTGCGGTGATGGGGCAATGTTAGAAATGGGTGAGGAGTGTCCCCAAGCTCTAGGAGAGGAGAGGGGTCTGGTGGGGAGAATGAGATGTTGGAATTCTGGGCCAGTTACCCAGCTTTCTCTGAGCCTCGGACCCTTCCTCTGCCCAATGAGGTTGATGATGGCGACGGTAGGGGGTGGGGGCTGGGAAGGAGGGAATCGTGGGAATGATTCCCTTCTAAGTCATGGTGGTAAACAGAAAAAAGCAAGACTGAACAGCTCACTCAATGCTGGAGGAGTTTACAGGAAATGAAATGCCACAAGTAGTCAAGTAATTGTCTCACAAGAGAAAATTATAGGTGGGAAAAGTCAAAACTGAAAAGTGAACAGAGCAGCGGGTTGTGGAGAAGTCAAGTGAAGAGGTGCGTGGGATCCGACTGTAAACAGCGAAGGTGGGGATGGAGGGGATCACACCGTAGGATACGAGTCAGAGCCCCGCGAGTGCAGTGGTGGTTTTGCTGGGACCCAGGGCTTGAGAGAGCAGAAAACAGGTGTTCCGAAGGAGCGCCTGTGCCAGACTCACGGGCCCTGGCCCCGGAAGATCTTGCAGATGAGAACAGTGTGGAGTCCCAGGAGGCTGAGCAGAGCCATGCATGGGGGCTGGGGGGGGGGGGCGATGCCCACAGCGGGATTAAGGAGGGGCGTGGAGAGCCTGCATCGTCCTTGGGGGCAGGGAAGAGCCTCCAGATTAAATCTCTCCCGACAGTCTTGCGGAAGGTCCAGATCTCAGACTGAACCTATGCCATACACCTTCAGTTTGGAGATACCAATTTACGGGGCTATGGACTCATGAAGGAAGGGCAGGGAGAGAAACCCCAGAGCGTATAAGGCGAGCCTAGAGGAAACAGTGGCCGTTGAGGACAGACATGGCAAAGCCCCTGGGAAGATGGGTCCGCAGTGGTCTCGGGCGCGGGGAGGCAGGGGACAGAATGTATCACTTGGAAATGGATTTCAGGTTGATAAATTTAGCACCTGATCCCTTGCTTCCTGTAAATACAGATGCCCTCCCAACCTCTACCCCCTAAAAGAAGCGTGCAGGGACCCACGTATGGAAGCTCTAAGCTCGAATTAGTTCCGTCAGGCAGGTGAGCCCCATAAGACTGAGCGGGTCACACACCTTTACCTTATAAGACTTCAAAGTAAATTCAAGTTTGAAAGTGAGAGTTTTCCCCCATGGGGTGTGTTCGGTAGCAAATGTTCTGTTTCTAGTGCTCGAAAGCGCCCCCCGCCCAAGCTCTGTTACCTTCCGGGTCAGTTCTTTCGGATGAAAGGATTACCCTTGAAGAAACTCGACCGGGCTTTGAAGATCGCTCTCCTGGGCCCGTGGCCCTGCCAGCCACCTCACAAGTCCCCAGGAAAATCAAGTACATTTTCTCTGAAAAGCCATTGAAGTTTCTGGTTTCTAACTAGCGTTCTGGAGTGAGAGCTTCTGCGGTCAGATCGGGACGGCAGTGATGGTTTTCTTCTCCTCCGACCTCACAGGAGACCCAGCAGTGGGCAAGACCGCCCTGGCACAGAGCTTCCGCAGCGACGGGGCCCATTTCCAGAAGAACTACACCCTGGTGAGATGTGGGAGTTGGGGGCTGGTCGAGGCTTAAAGAGAAGCGGTCATCCCCTAACCCTGAAGGAGTGACTTTCCAGAATTTTTTAAGAAGCCCTGAGAGGTTTGATGAGAAGCTATTTGAATGGCCACAAGCCACAGGGCACGAGGCTGTCCATGGAACAGACTGGCAGGTGGTCGGCCTGGTTCTCATGTCCTGCTCCTTGTGGGTGGGGACTTGGACGAGGCTGGTTGGTCCTGTCTGACTTCTGCACCAAAAACCAATCCAGAACATAGTATCTGTGCCTTCTGGGTATCGGGTGTTCATCGTGTCCTGCGACACGCCTCTTGGGACCCTCTGATGCGCATATTCTCGGTTCTCTCCCACAGACAACAGGGGTGGACTTGGTGGTGAAGACAGTGCCAGTCCCTGACACGGGGGACAGTGTGGTAAGTGGTGCCCTTGACCCCAGAAAGGTTAGTGCTCCTCCAACTGGGCTCAGAGTCTCTGGGGTCCGTGTCATCTTCCCTAAGAGGGACACAGTGCCAGGACTTGGCTGAGGCTTGTCTCAGCACTTGGGAAGCGTCACTGACCCAGGCCAAAGAAGGGGGAGTAAGAAGACAGGGATAGGAGCCCTGCACTCATAGAACTGGAGTAGTACCAGGGTTCTTAACCGAGGTCCCTTCTTTGGAATCTGTAACTCTGGAAATTGAATTGCAAAGGCATCACGTGTGTAGTACTATCCTGGAGAGAAGACGGATGAATCACCACCTTCTTAAAGAGGTCCATGAGGAAACACAGCTTGAAGTACCCCCAGTGCAGGGAGAAGGGCTAACATGAGTGCAGATAAGCGGCGTGCAACGCAGAGTACAGCCCTGACCTTCAGACCGCAGGTGCTGGGGTCAGAAGCCAGCCAGGGGCATCCAGTGCCCCAGGGGAGCCGAAGGGGAGATTTCCCAGAGCAGCAGCAGCAGGGAGGGGCCCTCGCATGGGCTGGCCGAGTTGCGTCGAGGGCCAGGAAGAGTCACCCTGCGCCCTCTGTCCGAATCCCACCCCTGCCATCGGGGAAGGATGGCAGGCTGTCCTACTTTAAACACCTTCTCCAGGCCTACTCTGTGACCTGCTTTAAAAAGAATTGTTTTAAGATTTGAAAATCAATTTGGTTAACAAAGTGCAGAATGACCTTTTGGAAAGCAGAGCGCGCTCGGCGGCCTGTTTAGCATTCTGCTCCGCCAGGTGGGAAGTCAGCTTGTTCCTGGTATTTCTGCACTTGGGGTTAGGAGAGGTGAGCTGTTGCACAGAAAGTGCTAGTTGGTGCGGGAGACCATTGCGCTGCCCGTCTCAGGCTCTCCAGATCGTTCCTTTCCCCCATGTCTTCACCAAGCCTGTGGGAATGCGTGTATCTCACCATGAAGCCGGGTCTGCAGGGAGCGGAGGGTCACCTCGGGGACTTGCGGCCATCCATTTGCCTATGTGTAGACTTTCTGGGGACCTGCCTTTCTGGTTCTAGGAACTCTTCATTTTTGACTCTGCCGGCAAGGAGCTGTTTTCCGAAATGCTGGATAAACTGGCAAGTAGCGTGCGATCTTTTCCTTAACCACTACCACCATCCACACAAACTTTCCCCCTTCCCTGCTCTCCCAGAAGCTACCACGACAGAATTCTTCCAGGAGCAGTCCTCCCAGCCTTGGGATGCACAGCCCCTTGGCCAGGAGGACTGGCACGTGCGTGTTGAGTCCCCCTTCCCCCAGCTCTGGAATGGCCAGGTTCCAAATGCACCCGAGCTGTGTGACTCAGTCCCCGCAGCGCTCTGGGCCCCCCTCCTTTGGCCAGCTCCCTCCTGATGGTGATGGTGCTGCGCAGTCCGCACTCCCCAGCCTCACAGGTCAGAAGCAAACATTTCCTTCCCCTCTAGGGGGCACCCTGGAGGCCCCGTAGCAAGGCTCACCTTCCCTGCCCACCTCTGGGGTCCAGCCTGGGGTCCACTCTGGGACCTGCACCTGCTACCCCCCCCGACCCCTGGGGGGTCCTTCTCTGGCCCACCCAGCCATCCTCGCAGGGTCCAGCTCCCTGTACTATCAAGGTAACAGTTCTGCTAATCTGGGCCAATGAGCTAATTAGAAGTTTTGAGCTCTCCAGAGCCCTCCCCTGCCTTTCCAAGAACAGCTACATTTTAATAGAAACTGTTTTCTGCCCCTTTTTTGTTGTCTAAGGGAAACAGATCTAATGACAGTCATTTCTCATGGGCTGGCTTCACGCATCCATCTGTGATGCCTACCACGTGCGTGCTGTGTGCATGGCCTCTCACTGGGTGCTGCCCTACTGGGCAGAAGGGAGGACGTGTCTGGGCAAGCCAGAGGGGGTACCGGTCAGCCCACACCCTGCCTCCAGCCAGCCCTGACGCTGGGCTCCTATTCTAGCCCCAGCTTGATCCCAAGCCTATCCTGGGTCCCCTCACTGAGGCCTAGAGGAAGGAGGTGTCCCTGCATGCACAAAGCCGAGGTCACTGTGGTTCTAGCAAAATTTCTTGAGTTAGTGTGCAGCGTGAAGTTGGTGGGGGGTGTTCGTCAGTTCCGTTAAAGTGGCAGCATAGCCTTGGGGTACAGTAAACCCTCCAGAGCCAATGCTGGACCAGCCTTCCAAGGACAACTGGAGGGAAAAGATTCCTCCCCACACCCTGGGAGGTTACTGACACACCAGAAATAAACCAGGCTGTAATTGTGCAGGATAGGGGTCCCCAGAGACGGGGGCCTGGCCAGAGCCTCGTGCACCAGGATGAGCATCACAGCCTCTGAGCAGGGCCATCCTGTGGCCTTGTGTGAGGCCACAGGACGTCCCAGGATGTCCCAGGCCACAGCCCCTGAGAGCATAGGCCTGCTTCTTAATTGGGACAGCAAGCCCTGTCCACTTGTCGGTCTGGTTTGGATTAGGGCTGATGTACTGCAGGAGAAGCAGAAAGTGCTCTTCGCATTTTGAAAAGCCAGCCCTTATTAAGAAGATGCCAGCAAGCAAGCTTCCAGGGGCTGGCTAGTGGAAGAAGGATGCTCTTTTAGGCCTGCAAAGCAGGAAAACATAATAACCGATATAACAGTGGGCCCTTGAGAGGAATGCGACAGAGAATGAATGGATGAAACCAGCGACAGGCCAAAGCATTTCTGGGTCGGAACAAAGCCTCAGTCCTACCCCAGTCTTTAAAGCATGTCTGATCTGGGCAAGTCAGTTACCCTCCCCGAGCTCAGTAGGGATCTTGAGACCAGCCTTGCAAAGTTGGGAGGTTTTTCAACCACGCACAGAACGTGCCCAGAACGGCAGCCTGGTGCAGGGGTGAGCCCCGGCCCTCACCTTCAGCCCAGCCCTCCCATTGGTACCTGTGGGTGGGCTCAGACGTCTGACTCCCATCCCCATTGTGGTTTTTCATCTCCCACCCGCCCCCGCCACCAACCCCTCATCGCTTCCCTGGGAAGTCCCACCTAGGAATCATTCCCATGGTTACTGACATGCTCATCCTGTCCCTCTGGCACAGTGGGAGAGTCCCAACGTCTTGTGTCTCGTCTATGACGTGACCAACGAGCAGTCCTTCATCAACTGCAGCAAATGGCTGGAGAAGGCTCGGTCACAGATTCCAGGCACCTCCCTCCCAGGTAGGAGCTGCCATCAGCTGTGGGACTTCCAGCAGCGGCTGTCCCTCGAGTTCTCGAGTTCAAGGTCATTGCAGAAGTGCCTAGGGCTAGAAAAGAGCGTGCGGTGCCCCTGGCTTAGAGTGTGGTGGCCTTCATGGTACGGCAGCACTGCCTCTTAGCTGCCCCGAAAACCTCAGCGAGTTACCACACACACCTCTGTGAGTCTGTAAAATGGGCATGAAGATGGCCCTTGCCCCCCGCAGGGTCATGGAGAGGAGACTCAAGGACAATACGGAGAAGGTGCTGTGATATGAATGAGTTTTTATTTCTGAAAGCCAGCCCCGGGGATGAATTCCTCATTTTCTCCTATATGTGGGGCACAAGTAAACATTCAAGTCCTATTGTCACTTCTGAATGCTTTAAATCAGTTTATTTTTCATCCCTATGTGAGATCAACAAATTCCCCTCATTAGAGACCAGGGAAAGCGATCTCCAGAGACGGGCTCAGAAATTAGCTGCAGCTGATGCAGCTGGGAACAGCTCTAAATTGCCGCTGAGTCCCTGGCTCGGAGCCCAGTCCTTAGATTAGTATTAATGACCATTTTTAACGTCTGCTCCATGCGCTCGGAATTATCGCAAATGCTCGCATAAATTTGGCCCTCGCCTTGCAGCCTGAAGGAGACCGGGCAGACAGATCGGCGTGAAGTCTGGAAAAGGGGCCTAGTGAAAGCTGGGTGTGAAAAGCAAAGCCCGGTGGCTTTCCCGAGGCAGGGGTGGGGAGGGCGGGTGTGCAGCCCGGGAGCCTCTCTCTCCCCCTCCCCCTCCTCTCCCCCTCCTCTCCCCCTCCCCCTTCCGCAGTGCTCAGCACCTCGGATCAGTTGGCCTCTCCTCGACAATGTTTTAGACCCCTCAGAATTAGTATGCTCGCCCTTTGATCTCCCCAGCAGCCCTCCGGCTGCCACAGTTAAACCAGTTAAATGGTTGTTTCTTTCGAGCAGGTGTGTTAGTGGGGAACAAGACAGACCTGGCCAGCAGACGAGTGGTGGATTCGGCTCAGGCCCGGGCGTGGGCCCTGGGCCAAGGCCTGGAATGTTTCGAAACATCCGTGGTAAGTAGCCCCGCTCACCCCGGAGCCGAGTCTGGAGTGGGCCTATGCTGGAGGTGGTCTTTCACGTGATCTTACGGCCTCGAACCCCACCATAGGCAGAGTTTCCTCTGGAACTGTCATGCACATTCTTGGTTCAAAACCTTTCTCGATACAGCAGAGTCACCCGTGCACTTACAGGAAAGCAGATGCGCCGGCCTGCGCCGACATAGTTGTATCTCAATTAATGAGAAATACAGGTGCATGGGTTCAATCGTAGCGACCCTTGGTGTCCACGTAAGATAGTGTGGGTTACAGTGCCCTTGGAGCATTATCTCACGGGCCCTCACAGTCAGTACCGTGACCTTGGGCGCTGGTCCCATAATCCCCATTTCCGTGTTGAGAAGATGAAGTGACTTGCCCAGGGTCACATGATTTGTGAAGAGTTGAGCCAGGGCTATGAGTGCTGGCTCCCTGTCCCAACTCCCCGCAGCACCAGCGTGACACCAGGCCACAAAGTACCCTCCTTAGAGTCCGCAGGAGCCCTTGAGAGAAAGGGGACAGCCAGCGGGATTTGCTACTGGCGCCATCTCACAGTTCTGGCTCTCCAGCACCTGAGAACCCCGTTCCTGTTTTTGAGACCTTTTAGGTCCCAGCCTCCCTGCAGCCAAGGTATAGGCATGGGACCCCGTCTGCACCAGTCAGACATGCTCCTGTCAGACTTTCCAGAAGGAAGGAAAGTAACAGCTCCCCCTGCAGAAGCAACCCAGAAGTATCCGTTCCAGCCAGCAGGGGCCAAGGTTCTAGGCTGCAGTGCCCCTCCCCAGGGTTGGTGGGGGGACTTGCCAAGGCCCGCGTGGCCAGAAGCACCCATGGTTGTCACTCGGACCTCACTCCTGGCCTTCTGGCCCCCTGGCCTGAATCTTTGGCCTTCCAAAAGAGTCCGTGAGCTAGTTAAGAAATAGTCTAGAAGTGGTTTTGCTGCAGACACTTCCACTGTTCCATTTACAAAACTTGGCAAGTGTGGCTGTTCAGATGCTGTGTGGATGTGAACTTTTTAAATCCCCCCCCCCACCAAAGCGGCGTGCTTTCTTGGGAAAGTGTAGCAGGTGGAGGCCAACACTCTGTCCGCTGGGGGCGAGGCAGAGAACTTAGCCTATTCATCGAGCTGCCAATGCTTCGGCTTCCTCACCTGTAAAATGGGAATAAGAAAATCTATTCCTTGTTGAGTGATGAATGTGAGAATTCCGTCAGATGGTGAATAGGAAAACATCAGCACAAAGTCTGGTGCGTAGTAAACAATAAATGTTTGCTTTTGAAGTATGCCCATTCCCCCTAGGAATCTAATTGATACTATTGTTACTTAAAAGTTTCAGATTCATAGATGATACAAAGATAGATGTCCCGCTTGCCTCTGGCCCGATGATCACAGATGCTAAACTAATGAATTTTGTGTTAGCCGCTTTTACGGGATGGAGGGCGTCTCCCCTTGTACGCAGTGCCCCTTTGAGCCAAGCGAATGGTGTACTACCCACATCGAGCCATATTTTACTACTCCCTCTGCCTTCATTCACATTTGTGGAATTGCCTCCCCACCCCAGGATCCCACAGTCCCCAGAACTCTTGATGGAGCTCAAAAATTAACGCCCACTCCCAACCCATGAGTCATCACAAGGCCACTGGGCTACGTGCTTCAACTCTGCGTGGGTGTTTGTTGCTGCGCCAGCGAAACGGGTGGGTATCAATTATGCCAGGGGAGGCCGCGGTTAAGCACTTGGTATTAACTGTGTAAGCTAACTAGTCCCCCGAGTTGATGCTAACAGAAGCACCACTGGCAGCTCGGGTAAGAAAGCTGTAATTAAAAAGGAAATAGAACCCGATGCTGCCTGAGACACAGCCAAGCCTTGACACCTGGCGCCCAGCTCTGCCCTCCTGATGGCTGCGCGGCGGCCACCGTCCTGACGGTCCCCACGTGGTCGTCTGACCTTCTCTCTCTCTACCCTTCATTCACGTGGTCGTCTGTCCTTCTCTCTCTCTACCCTTCATTCACGTGGTCGTCTGACCTTCTCTCTCTCTACCCTTCATTCCATCCCCAGAACGGGCTCGTCTTAAAACCAGAACTTGGCCCCCTTCGATGCACCATCCCCCGTGTCCCCCACCGCTCCTAGCACCCACCAGTCTGCTTTGTGTTTTTCTATGACCAAGGGTGTTTTTAGATCCCACATATAAGTGAAAAGATGCAGTATCTGTCTTTCTCTGTCTCCCTTGTTTCACCGAGCCTAACGTCCTCAAGGGTCACCCACGTCATCACAAATAGCAGGATCCCCTCCTTTTCGAGGCTGAATACTGTTCCATCATGTCCATTTGCATACCAACCGCAGGTTCTTTAATCTGTTGATGGACCTTCGGGTTGTTTCTGTGTCTTGGCTGTTCAAGTAATGCTGCAGGGAACGTGGGGGTGCAGGTGTCTCTTCAAAGTAGCGATTTCATTTCCTTTGGTTATGTACCCAGATGTGGAATTGCTCAATTGTATCGTAGCTCTATTTTTAACATTTTGAGGCACCACCGTATGGTTTTCCACAGCACCAGCTTGCTTTCCCACCAACAGTGCACAAAAGTAGTTTCTCTTTCTCCATCTCCTCCCCGACACTTGTTATCTCTTGTTTCCAGGGTAATAGACGTGCTAACAGGTATAAGGTAGTAATCTCATTGTGATTTTGATTTGCATTTACCTGCGGATGAGTGGTGTCCGGCTTCTTTTGATGGGCCTGGTGGCCGCTTGAATATCCTTTTGGGAAAAATGTCTTTTTGCTCCTCAGTCCATTTTTTAAATCAGACTATCAGTGTTTTTGCCGTAGAGTTCCCAGAGTTCCTTACATATTTTGGATATTAACCCCTTCTCAGATGTGTGGTTTGCAAATAGCCTTTTCATTTTGTGGGTGGTTTCTTTCACTGTGCAGAAGCTTTTCGTTTGATGTAGTCCCATTTATTGGGTTTTGCTTCTGTTGCTTGTGCTCTGCCGTTAGAGCCATAAAATCATTGCCAAGTTTCCTGCCCCAGAGCTTTGTCCCAATGTTTTCTTCTGGGAGTTTTATGGTTTCAGATCTCAAGTTCAAATCTTGAATCCATTCTGAGTTAGTTTTTGTGAATGGTGTAAAATAGGGGTCCAGTTTCATTCTCGTGCCTGTGAGTATCTGGTTTTCCCAACATCATTTATTAAAGAGGTTAGCTTTTCTCCACTGAGTATTCTTGGCTCCCTTGTCAAATACTAGCTGTCCGTGTAGGCAGGGGTTTATTTCTAGGCTCTCAATTCTGTTCCATTGGTTTTTGGGTCTGTTTTTATGCCAGGACCATTCTGTTTCGGTGCCTATGGCTTTTTAATATAGTTTGAAATCAGGACGTGTGACGCCTCCAACTTTGTTCTTTTTTCTCAGGATTGCTTTGGCTATTTGGGGTTTTTTATAGTTCCTCTTGGACTTGTTTTAAGATTTTATTTATTTATTTGAGAGAGAGAGAGAGCATAAGTCGGGGGAGAGGCAACAGAAGACGGAGAGAGAGAATCCCAAGCAGACTCCACACTGAGCACAGAGCCCAATGTGGAGGCTCGATCCCTGAGATCATAACCTGGCCCGAAATCAGGAGTCAGATATTTAACTAACTGAGCCACCAGGTGCCCCCTGCCTTCGACTTTCTTATATCCCTTGATACTTGACATTTTCAGACCAAAAAATGAAAAAAAAAAATTTTAAGCAAGTTCTAAAAAAAAAGTTCATCTCTATAGGACAATATTAAACACAAGTTCAAGAAGGATGTGAGGGGAGGACTCTCCTCTTACAGCAGGGTGAGGGAAGAGAACTGACCTTTGTTGAGTGCCTACTGTGTGCTAGGCATCTGCACACATTATCTGCAGAAGCTTCTAGCAGCCCGACAAGACAACCAGTGCTATCCCTGTTCTGCAGATGATGAGCAGACTCAGAAAGCTTGTGTGGCTCTCCCTGGTTGCCCAGCCTATGAGCGGCCGAACCAGGACTAGAATGCCAGTCTAAGCTTGAGAACCTTCTAGAAGGAGCTCTGGCCTCCCACAGAAACTACTTTGGGACTCTCAGAGGCAGAATTGTAGGCCAGATTGAGCACTAGTCGGAGAGTCTGATCAAAGGATCTTTTCATACAAAGCAAATGTACTCTCTAGTATGTCAGTGAGATTATGATTAGTCTTTAACAAACAGGTTCCTGTCATCAGCAAACCCTCGTAACGCATTCGGAAAATGGTGCCGTTTACATCTGCTACTTCAGGAGTGCTCCGTGGCATATAGAAAGGCTCAGCTTCACTGAATTTTTACTTTTTATATTGCGTTCTCCCCAGATCTTGCTTTCAGGAACTTTCAAATTCACTTGGAAATCCTTGTGCGTGTCCTACGCATTCCTCATCCTCTATCTACTCCTTACTTAACTATGCTTTCAACTGGGGTAATATTCTTTTTTTGGAAAGGGAGGAGGGAAGGGGCAGAGGAAGAGGAAGAGGGAGAGAGAGAATCTTAAGCAGGCTCCACAGACAAAGCAGAACCCAACACGGGGCTCCATCCCACAACGCTGAGATCACGACCTGAGCGGAAATCAAGAGTGAAATGCCCAACCGACTGAGCCACCCCGGCACCCCCAGTGCAACATTTTACTATTGACGTTGGCGTTGCCTAGGGCGTTGTGTTCCGTACAGCCAAAAGTGCCTTGCGGATGTGATGAGTTTGTTCCCTTCTGTCTGACAGCTAGGGGGGGGGGGGGGGGGGCCTTGGCCATCGCACACTTAGTACAGGTGCTCTTCTCGGCTACAAAGTCCCCCGTTCCTCAGCGGTGCCACCTCTTTTTCTGCTCTTGGCTAACTTGTCCCATTCCCGTTTGGGATTTCCCTTGTGAGAAAGTCTGGGTAACACTCTGTGCGAACCGGTTTCCGTTGTGCATTTCCGTCTCCCCGGCTGGCAGGCGGAAAGGTTGTTCTCCAGTTGGGGAACTCAAATCCTAGGCTGGGCTCCGCACACCCCAGCGGCACCCCTGGGCCACAGACAAAGTGAAGGCACTGAGCTCGGTGAGTTCAGAACATTCTGCCGTCCGGAAACCCTTCCCTGTCGTTGGGGTTATTTTGTTGCTTTGTGGCAAGGCTGCGCTTTTGCCAGCTGCCAAGGATGGTCTGGAGATGGGTTCTAATGCGTGCATAGCTTGAGCCTCTGTCCTCAGAATAGCAGGTTCCTTCTTCTGCCAGCTTATTCCATAAGAAAAAAAAAAAAAAAGGACATGCGTGCACACAGAGTGAGAGAACACTAGCTAAGCTGAGAAATGACGGTTTTCCTTCCCCTAGAGCTTGGTCATGCTCGCCCTGTGAGACCCGTTCTTCCCACCCTGTGGAGGTCATCTAGGGTCAGTTCCAGAACTTGTCTAATCGCTCAGAGAACAGGAAGTCCTTCGGGCACCTTTGGTTACAAAATAGTCATCACAGTTGCGAAGACACACAGTGCTGGGCACCTGAAAACTGTTCCCCACGTCCAGTCAGGGCTCCCTCCCATGCCTGCCGTGGGAAGCAGGGCCGGGCCTGCCCTTCCCGCCCCCAGCCTGCCGCCTGCAGGAGAGGGAGCTCGGGCAGCTTGGCTGGGACCCGCCGCAGGTCCTCTGGACTTGTCAGGTGTCTCAGGCTGGCGCCCTGGGAGCCCTGCACTGACGCGCCCTCCCCGGCCCCTGGGCAGAACCCCCCCACCAAGCTTCCCGCTGACGGGTGACTCCGCCTCACCTCCTCCTTCAGCCTAGGTTCCTGGCTCTTGGCTCTTGTTGGGGCCCATCCCCCTCCTGCAGCCCGTCCCTGCCGAGGCCCCTTGGGGTAGCTCCGGGCTGGCTCTCCTGCTCGGCCGGCTGCTGGCTCAGGCCAGTGCTGCTGGACACAGCCGTCCACACAGCCAGCCCCGGGCTGACCTCGAGGTTTCCCAGACCTGGCTCCAGCACTGGCCTGAGCCCCTGGGCCTCGGGCTTTCTCTTGCAGCCTCCCACTGAGCTCAGGGGAGGGAGAGGCACCCCAGGGGTCAGTGCCACAGCTCTGCCCGTCCAGAGTGAGGCAGCGGGGAGGACTTGCCATTGTTATTTTGCATGGCCCCTTGAGGGCCCCGGTCAAAACTAAGCGACAAGAGTCTCACTTTAGCATCCCGGCACACGTGGGGCGAGCGCAGCCGCAAGCACAGGCTCTGTGGAAGCATCCAGGTGCAGCCCCAGCCCCACCACTGAGGGCGTGAGGCTTTTGGCAAGTTAGGTAACCAGTCTGTGCCTCGGTTTCCTCCCTGTCACAAGGGCGCGCTAGTAGCCAGCCCTGCTGTTGGGGGGGACAAAGGAGGCGAGGCGGGTGTGGCACCTGCCGCTAGGGGTGGGGGAGTCCTGAGGAGGCGGAAACACCACCAACTTCTCCACCTTGCCTCTGCAGAAGGAGACGGAGAACTACGAAGCCCCCTTCCACTGCCTGGCCAAGCAGTTCCACCACCTGTACCGGGAGAAGGTGGAGGTTTTCCACACTCTGGTGTGAGGGCCCCGGGGCGGGCAGTGCCTCACGACAGCTCGGCGCCTCTGGGGATCCAGCAGGGACTCCGGCTCCTGGGGGAGGAGAGAAGCTGGACTTGCTTCAGCCACTTTTGATATATCCTGACAGCTTTAAATAAAGTGGGAAGATGTAAGAGCCGCCGCTCCTTCCGTTCGTGGCCGGGGTGGCCCTGGTTCCCTCTTGCCCTTGGGCTGCCAGTTCTGGGCGGCACTCAGAACCTTGGTGGCCCCGGCACCTGTGGGGGCTGGCACCCATCAGAGTGGGTGGTCCTGCCAGCCCCAAAGGGCCTGCACCCATGGCATGGCCCACGGTGGGGTGCTCGGCTCGGATTTGGCCCACGGCTGCTGCTTCCTACCAGATCCGGCTTTGCTGCCTGTTTTGCTGTCCAGATGCCGAGCTGCCATGTGATGGCCGTGGTCACCGACCCAACAGTGCCCTCGGTCGGCCCCCTTGGGGCCTCCTCCTGAGTAAGGTGCAGCGCCCTTCCCCGCTGCCGGGAACCTTGAGCGCCCAGGGAGCTGTGAACCAGGCCACTCTCCTTTAATGACCCGCCTCTCGCAGCCGGGCGGGAGTCGTAATTCTTTGCACTAAGCTTGACTCTTTTCCATCCCGTGCCGGCTGCCAGATTAATCTTCCTAAAACCTCACTTTCCTCATTTCACTCCCCTGATTAAAGACCCACAGAGGTTCCGTGGTGCTTTTTACACCAGGGCCGTGGGCCACGGTCTGGCACGGAAGCCCCCCTCCATCACCACTGCAGGGGCCTCAGCTGCTTTCGATCCTGGTGCCCCGGAGGGTTCCCCCTTGCCCGCTGTCAGGTGCCACCCCTCCCAGTTCGTGGGAGTGGGGGGGCTTGGTGCAGAGCACCGACTTTGCAGGTAGACAGACCTGGATCTGTCCCAGTGATCGTGATGGTCATGAAATTTACTCTGGGTGCTGTTAATGACCTGAACTAAGCACGTGACCTATATTAGCTGACTCAGTCCTTACAATGTAGTCTTACCATCCCGCTTCTACAGACGAGGAACCGGAGTCAGAGAATCTGGTAGCTGAGCCAAGGGGTGACAGAGCCAGGATTGTCGACACCAGAGCCCCGCTCACGGCCACAGCCTCTTCAGCCTCCCTCCTCCTGCCTCCCCCTCACCCCCCAGCTTGCCCTGGCCTGGCCTGGAGCAGGTGGAGGTCTTTCCATCTGCAAAGGGTGCTGGCTGGGCCACCCCTTGAGGTGACCATGAGAAGTAAACTAACAGGTGAAAGGCAAGGGTGGGGAGGGAGCACATGATGTCACCCCTTCAGGCCCCTTCCAGCCCCTTCCTCTTCTGGCTGTTTCTCTGTGGGAGCTCACAGTAACAGCAGTCTTCCTGCTGAGTCACTCTTTCAGATGGTGGGCACCGAGGACCTACGGTGGGTCAGGCATTTCTCTAGGCGCCCGCAGTGCCAACTGCTGATCGCATGTCACGTGGTCTGCAAGGGAAACCTACAAAAAACAACCAAGGAGCCATGGAGGGGGCATTTCCAGTTGCCCCAGACTTGGTCCCTGGGACCCACCACTACAGACAAAGAGATGCTAAGAGATCCCAAAAGGCTGGGGCCAGACACCTTCCCTGGGGCAGAATTGGCGCTGCTGCCAGAAACTAGCCCCGGGCCCCTCTGCTCCTGCCCTCCCCTGTTTGTGGAAGAAAGATGAGCGGCAGAGAGGAGGGACTGTGGGTAGATGGGGCGTTCGTTGGTGAGTGGGTGCCTCTCCGGCTCCTGCCCCATCCCCGAGAACACTCCTGAGGCCGAGGGCACTGCCAGCAAGAGGCTGGCACCCCGGTCCCCTGCTGGATGCTCACTGCACCGCGGGAGCTTCGTGCCAGCTGCAGGCACGGGGTGGTGAGGGTGCCCTTGGGGGAGCTTGGCACACATGCCTGGGACTTGTGCCAGATCCAGGGGGATCTGGTGGGGAGAAGTCGTTGCCACCGGCAGGAAGAACAGGTCCCCCCACTCAGTTGTGCAGGACCCACATAGAGTGGAGTCAGTGGGCCCCCAGACAGATCCTGGGCAAAGGGAGCTGCTTCCCACCCGGAAAAGGTTGGGGCCTATTCTGCCAGCAATGCTGAAGTGGGGGGATATGGCTGTCGCCTCCTGAGGAGATCTCAGCCACAGAGGAGACTCTACCCCAAAATGACCAGACACCGATCTCCACGGAGATGAGACGGCTGGCAGGTGGAAGCAGACCAGGAGAGGCGTGCGAGGGAACCGGAAGTAGCCCCCCCGACCCCTCTGCTCCAAGGGACCCCAGAGAAAGGAGAAGACAAAGCCCTTGCTCCTCATCCTGCCCCTTCTGTAGAGGAGCTCTGAGCCAGGATGGGGTTTCGAACCGGCCTGGTCTGAGTCCTGATAAGCAAGAGCACCCACAATATGTGGGATTGTGCAGTCATGAAGACCCAGTGGGAATGGGGCTCAATGGAGCAGGACAGAATAAAGCAATTCGGGAAAGCGAGGTGGTCTAGATTCTCCAACAAACATACTACGAGTAAATAAATGATCAAGATCATTGCAGACTGTGCTAAGTGCCACACAGACAATTAAACGTAGCTGGGGGTCAATGCCGGGGTGACTGGGTTAGGTGGGCAGGAAGGAGTCTAAAAAAAAGTGACATTTGAGCTAGGTCCCCCACAGCCGTGGCACCCCATGAGGGATGAGCTATCAGGCAGTGAGGACAGCAAATGCAAAGGCCCTGCGGTATGAACAAGCTCAGAGGATCCAGGAATGTAAGGCCAGTGAGGCATAGTATGGTATGTGCTGGGAAGAGCAGAAGGAGGCAAAACAGAGGCCATACCGGAAGGAATTGCATTTTATGGCAAAGGCAACCAGAAGCCAGTCGGAAACAGTGTAGCTTTTATGGACTCCATGCCCCATACTATTTGGGGAATCTAGGAAGTGGTTATTAATGTCTTCACTGGCCTGAAGACCCCATTCTCAGCGAGCAGATGTTTATGAAATGCACGCCAGGTCTGCCAATGTACTCATTCGACATTTGCTGAGCACCTCCTACGTGCCAGTCCCTGTTCTGGGAATGGGGATTTATCAGTGAGTAAAACAAAAATCCCTCCGCTCCCTCTAGCAGAGTGAGAGAGAGAGGTCGGGTTAAGTGGGGAAAGTAACCATCTGGCAGATGGCGATAGAGCAGGAGAGTGCAGGGGACGGTGCAGGGGGGTGGGGGGGGGGGGGGCGTGGCAATATGAACTAGGTGGTCAGGAGACACCTTCCTGAGATGGAGTTGGCGTTTTAGTAAGATCTGAGAAAGCAGAGTGATTGGCACCCTCCAGTTCGTGGGGTGGCCCATCTCCCACTTTCTGTCCCTGGCATGCAGCCCTGGGACTCAAGATGAGCACAGACCATTTGTACGGACTTGGCGGGGGGGCAGGGGTGGACGCGTGGGGAAGGAATGCCACGCTGAGTGGGACCCTGTCTTAGAATCACCTGCAATCCAGAGAGAAGAAAGCTGAGCAACACTTGACTTCTAAACCTCAGTGAAACCCAAAAAGCACCCCAGCCAGGGTCTCCCACCTGCTGTGGGAGGGCACAGGAGCCACTCTCCCCCCATCTCTTGTAGGACCTTGGGGGAAGGTTCTCACTGCCCTCCATGGCTTCCTTCCTTCTCTGAGGAGTAGCTTGGGGCCAGGGCCTGGCCTCTGTGTTTGCTCCCTGGTTGCGTGAAGCTGACTGCCCTGCTGCTTGCTTTACCCACCAAGAGGGTAGGGAAGCGCAGGCTAGTGGGAGAGGGTGGGGACTCACGGGCAGGTAGAGTTCTGGAGCCAGTGTTCAGAAACAGAAGCATGATGTGACCATCAGGTACTTGCCCTGCTGAGTCCTTCGCTGGGGTCCCGCCATGGAAGGGTTCCTCGTTCCGATGTGGATGGTGTGGGAGGAGCCCCCAGGCAGGTGGTCTCTAGATGCACTGGCTCACTGTGACACTTCTGCCCCGGAAGCCAGCCCTGCAGTTTCCCAGGCTAAGAAAGGTGCTTCGGTTAGACCATCTTCTGCAAAGACTCACGGGCAGGAGGTAACCCACTGCAGTCGCTGTCTATGTAAAAATGCATTCATTTCGGTGCTTAAACATTGTGTCTTAAAAAAAGAGATTGGGGCGCCTGGGTGGTTCAGTGGGTTAAGTCACTGCCTTTGGCTCAGGTCATGATCCTAGGGTCCTGGGATCAAGCCCCGCATGGGGCTCTCTGCTCTGTGGGGAGCCTGCTTCCCTCTCCTCCTCTGCCTGCCTCTCTGCCTACTTGTGATCTCTCTCTCTCTCTCTCTCTCTGTCAAATAAATAAATAAAATCTTTTAAAAATAATAAAATAAATAAATAAATAGATTATTGGGAAAATGTCCTGTCCCAAACTGGGGTGACAGTAACCGCAGATTCAATGGAGTCCTGGATGAAAACAGTGTTTTTCTAACCTAGATCTGTGGGACAGGTTTTGCCCATCCTGGAGATGTAGAGAGAAGCCTTCGGTTTTGCCCTTGCCTGCCCCATTCCCCTGTCCGTGTCTGTGCAGGGCCGGCTCTATGCTGGAGAAAGCTGTGGTTATGCTCTCGAGGAGCTCAGGTCTGGTCGGCAGGGAGGGGGTTTCCAGGGACCTCAAAGGGAAATACCTGATGCTAGCTGGGGAAGAGCATTCCAGACACCAAGAACAGCATATGCAAAGGCCCTGAGGCACAAAGCTAGGGCCCCTCTTGGAAACCATGCATGCAGGGTAAGGCAAGGAGTGAGGGGCGTCCAGCAGATGACAGCTGGAGAAGACAGACAAGAGCATGGAGCTTGAAGATCAGGTAAGAGACATCACAGTACTATGGCTGAGAGCCGATGGGGTGAGGTGGAGCCTGGCCTTTGTCCATTTTCAACATTAGCAAAAATTTGGGAAACAGATTTTCAGCCCAACTTAGAGTTGTCTATCCTCCCTCCTTTCTTCAGAGCACCAATTGATTTTTTTCTAATGGGTTATCCTTTATTTACTTTAGAGACAGAGTAAACAGAGAGAGAGTGACTTCTTTGGGCTGCAAATTGTTAGCGATGGAGCCCGGATTAAGAACTCAGGCTTGCCAGCCCTCTGTGGATTTTATGATATTTATGTATACAATGCCCGTTCA